TCCCTATGCACATTCCCCTTGGTTAAATTGTCTTTGTTGTCCTGAATCTACTAAATGTATTTTCTGAAAATGGAAACATGCCTCTGATATTTTCATTATTAGCTAACATACATATCTTCATCACACACCATTCCAAACTCCTTTGGTCTCACTCTATAAGATTTAAGAGTAAGAACTACAAAACAGCATACATGATTCACATAACATTATTTCCTCTTTCTGCGTATAATGAACTTGAGTGTTTTCTATTTTAGTCTAACTTTTAAATGTTGGTTTGATTTTTGAAACTATCACAACCAACAGGATAAAAAAGAACAAGCTTTACATACAATTTCCTGGCCCTAAGTCTACCAGACAAGAAATCCTTTGAGTAGCATACTAAAACTGCACCAAGTTCAGTTCTTTTCCATGGGATAGACTGGGCTTACTGGGGAAGAGCAACCACGTCCTAAGATTTATGGGATAGTTCATAAAATTTCCAACATATTACATATTTATTTTCACAATTCTACAATAAGATATGCCTTACGTTTCCATATGAAGTACTTCTAAAATTCTTAAAATATTAATCTTGATATACTGTTTTCACTCACAAAGCAATATTGCTTTAAATCACTTATTAACCAAGTAATCCATACTTCAGGATGGCGCAGTAACTAATATTATTGGTAACTACCTCAGGGAGAAGGGAAGGAGAGAAAGGAGGAAGGGGGAAAAGAGTACAGCAACTCCTACCACTTACTATGTTCCCAGTGTGTTCCTCAGGTGTCAGCACTGCCTCAGCTAAACCACATGCATTCTTAAAACAGATTAGGACATGTCTAGTGTAAAGGAAGCAAGTGTTTCGTACCTACATGTTCAATGCATTTACAATGATCCCAAATGAAGACATTTTAAAATAAATTTAATCATGTGTATTCAATGATTATCTTAATTCTGTGTGATAAACAATTCTACACAGAATAACTTAACAGTGAGGAAAAGCAGACACAAAGAATAAATAAAGTATTCTAGAAACAATTCAATTCCTTCCAATCAAGCCATCACTATTCCAACTCACATAAGAAAAAAATGATACTAAACTTTAAAACAACTCTAACAAAAGAAAATGTTTATACCACAATACCTGTTGACCTGTCCTAGGAATAAGTTTAATAATCAGATTATTCTCTGGGTTTAACATAAAATGTGAATTAAGCTATAAAACCGTTATATAATGAAAACTTACATGGAATGTTATAAAATCAGGGTCAGAAAGCATAGAAAAGTAATCCACATACAGAGAAAGCTGCCAGTTCCTTCTGTACTGAGTAATACTATCCTACATCCTTTTAAATAAATTTATTAATATTCAAATTTCCCATTTCAAGCAGAGGGAAACCAATTTAATGAGCAGTAAATGTTCTAGTCATCACTAACAAGCTAGTTTATAATGTCACGACTACTTTACTTCTATAGCTCCGCTATAACTTAAGAGTCCTACTACTGACACCAAAACTATTACATAAACAAACATAGAAATCATAATCTTTCCAACAACTTAAAAAAATCAAAGGCTTTCAAATATTACTGACTATAATAGATATCTTTTTAACAACATAAAAATCAAAGGAAGAAAGCTTTTCAAATATTGCTGGCTGTAACTAGAAAATAATATACACTATTAAACTCGAAAGTGACCTATGGTCTTAGGATGCTGTTATCCTCTTGGGCTAGCATTCGCCAACTTAATCCTTCTTCCTCTCTGCTGCTCCTACTTTTCTCCTTCAAGTCATCAGCACCAAAACCAAGAAATGTTATAAAAGAAAAACAGCATGCCTGACTCGGAATAGTCGGTTTTCTTACTGAGAACTGTTAATAACAAAATATTAACTGTACCACTACAGAGATGAAATGAATCATTACAAGGAATCAATGAAACTGATGGAAGCGAAATACACACAGGCTCTTGACTACATATTTAAAAGTAACCAATCATCCCCTTATAAAAATATGGAGTGCCCAGGTAGTATTTCCATTAATGCAAATACCAAACACAAATATTTAGCAAGTAATAGGGAATATTCAACTATATTATGCTATTTCAATTACTGTGTCTTTTAAAGAGTTAAAGACAATACTTTAAATTATTAAAATCAAACCAAAGATGACATCTTGAAATAAATTTAAACTGTCAAATTTAACCTCAATGATATTCCTGTAAATTTTCATTCCCAAAAATTAATGATTCATTAAGAAATTAAAGTCACTTCACAATCTTAAAACCTAACCTATATAATCTAGATATTCTTATACATTTTTTGCAACAGGAATGAAATAGAACATTTCCCAAAATGTAGTGACAGACTAATAAGTGAAGAAGGAATGATTCGTTGCAATACTTTAGTGAAAAGATACTATATCCTTCATCTAAAACCCCCAAGAGCTTGAAGACAGTAAATGAAACCACATATGATGCGTCTTTCGAAACACCTCCACTCTTTAATTCTTATGGAGGGAAGAACATGTCAGAGGCTTACGAGTCTAAACTATACAAAACAATTCCTTAAAAATTCCATCATCTCTTCCCCAGGAAAGAGCACACCAATTGGCCATCCAAAGCCAAAGGTTCAGCCCTGAAAGCATACATAGAAGTAACATTATGCAGACTAAGCATGCTGTAATTATGAATTTAGAAATACATGAATTTGAAAGAGAATAAGAAGTATAAAGGAATGGGTTGGAGGGAGGAAAAGAAAGGAGGAAATGATGTAATTATAATCTAAAAACATGAAATAATTTTTAAAAAATTTTTAAACTACTTTCTTGAAGAGATGGTTCAGTAGCTTAGAGGGCTTAGAGGACCTGAGTTTGATTCCCAGCACCCATGTCAGGAAGCTCCCGACCACCAGCATCCGGCTCCAAGAGGATGATCAGATGTCTGGGGCTTTCTCCAGAGTTCACACTTACAGCACATACCTTACACACAGACCCATACATACATAATTTAAAATAATAAAAGTAACCATTTCTTAAAACTCCAGTGATGGTTTATGAGACTGATTCATGACACTATATATCAGACAACTAAAAAGGTAAGACATGAAATTATTAACTAAGAATACAGGGAATGTGGGCTGGGGCTGGAACTCAGTGCTTGCCTAGCGTGAATAAAGCCTTTGGTTCAGTCCCCAGCACTGCATTACCCGCACATGGTGGTGCATACCAGTAATGTTACATAGCATCTCAAGACCACCCTGAGCTACATATTATGATCATCTCTCAAAAATAAATATACTATAGTGAATGCAGCAAACACTTGGTTTTTGTTTAACTTTCTGGTGTAAATAAATATGTATGTGTTTACAAAGTGTTCATAAACATAAGAAAACAACATCTAAGAAAAGATACTTAATGGAAGATACACAGGTTATTTTAATAACATGACAAAATATTCCATGGCATAAAACCACTATGTAACAGGAAATCAGATATACAGCTTTCTCTGTACACTATTTAACTTACACTTGCCACTGCGACGTACAAAGAGTTCTCCTACTGTTTTGCAAATGAAAAGGATATTAAACGACAATCATAATCACAGACTAGAGTATCACTAAGGGGCCATAATTCAAGGACTCAAATTCCAACCTTTTAAGTCTTCAAAAAAGAAACAATACAGAATTCCTAAGTTTATGAAACTCTGGGTGTAAAATTCCATCTGCTTCCTCAAGTACTGATCCTACACATCAAAAGGCAGGTAGCCACAGACAAAGCCACACCAACAGCAAAGTCCCTACTCTCCAGAGAGAAGCTGCCTGAAAAAACGGTTAAGATTTCTTACATTAGCAGCACGATGCCGGCCAGCTGCTTTGTAAAATCATTCCATGCACATTTACACATCTTTTTAACCTTGCAACATCAAGCTGCGAGCAATCAATCTTCAAACACTGGCAAACTGAGAATTAAAATTGCTTTGTGTGGTCATTCTTAAATTGGGGGTTGACCTAAGAGACAAATTTTGAATTAATTTGAAAACCAAAACAACAATGGGCACTTAATTTTTACTTCAGAAAATAAAGCTTTACTTGGGAACAAAGATCTTCAATATAAAAATGATTTAGCTAACTAAAAGTACTTCAACAGCACACAATTCTAGATGGCCAAAATCCTTCCAGGACTGCCGTACCACTCACTACCAGGCTGGGCAATGACGGACTGCTAGATGTCCAACTCCTTCATCCAAGTGAGTGACATCAGAGACACAGCACTTCAGCCAAGCCTTCTGGCTTGAAGGTCACATGCAGCGCTTGCTGGCATCACTGATCCAGTCCTACTACGGGTCATCCGGGTCACATCTACACTTAGAAGACTAGGAGCCCAAACTCTCAGTAAATGCACGTTCAGTTTAGAGTAAAATCTAACGCAGGTGGAGCTGCCTCCAAAAATTCTCCAACTACTGTCTGTACACACACACACACACACACACACACACGAAACACTTTTATTATTTCTTTTATTATTTCTTCTCAGGAACCTAGTAATTTTTGGAAAGTCCATGTTTAGTAGTTGTCCTTGCTTGTGCTATATAGAGATGAAATTAAACCCACAGATCACCACCTCCACAGTCCTGCTGTCCTAAAATAAGCAGACTTCAACATCTCCTCCCATCTCCAGCGATTTCCAAAGCCTAGGAAGGAATGTTTCAACCAACAAATACCTTCCCAGTGAGGCTGCTGCACTGCCGTGCACGAGACGACTGCGCTCAGTAATCCACCTCTGCAGTTGTTTTAAAGCTCTTACCGCTGCCTGAAAACGCAGGGAGTCCACAAACAGCAAGGCCACACACCAAGGCAACAAAGACACACGGCATTACTCCTGGCAAAAAGTCACCAAAACTAGGGGAGAAAAGTCTTAACTAACTGGCGTTTGTTCTTTTGTTATGTATATATGCATATTTCTTCATCATAGTTAATAATGCTCATGCCAGCTACACATTAAGAGTTAAAAAAAAAACTTACCCCATTCTAGATATTCAAGAATGTTCTTCTCTCTTCTCAACGGAGAATTATTGCATTCATCATAGAGACAGATGAGTATGTCCAGTAGGGTCTCCACACTGAAGCACTGCCCATTGGTCTGCGCTGGCCCATCCAAAATAAACTGCTCCAACTGCCTCAAACGCACTTCTCCGGACATGGCTGCTTCGGTTGCTGCTGTTGGCTTTCTCTTAATTGCCCTTACGATGTCTACTGTCACTATCTGAGCTTAAAAATTTTAAAGGTGTGGTTTTAAAAAATAAACCACTTGTTATTTCAACAACTGTCATGCAATGCCGGTGCTGAATTAAACATCCAACACGCCAGTCACCTCACTTAACGGAAGCGTCTTCGATTTCACCCATAAACATATATATCTTGAGGGTAAGTTTCCATAAAATATAGATTTAATATTTGTAAGAGAATAATACAATTAAATTGTATGCTTAAATAAAATAATAATTAAAAGTACAACGAACTAGAGTCAACACTTCTTTCAAAAAAAAAAAAACTCCTTCATTCAAAATTCAATTCGTGCAACATAATCCTGAAACGAATCCGGTTGCATCATTAATGAATAAAGTCCTCTCGGCATCGGCAATCCACTTCCCGGGAAGAAGAAAAATTGGAAAAGGGGGAGGAGGAGGGAGAGAATGTATGGAGGGGGGAGGGAAAGCCCAAATTTCTGCTGCAAATGCTCCCAACCTCCACTCGGAGAGCGCCTGGGCGAGTCCTCCGCGGGCAGGGAGGGCAGCTCCCGGAGCGGCTGTCTACGCTCCCGAGCCCTTTCTCTCCTACGGCTCTGCGGCGAGCCCTGCTTGCAGGCGACTGCGGCGAGGACGCGTCATCTTCCTCCCGGCTTCTCCTGAGGCCTGGCCCGCGGCGCGGCCGGGATGTGGCGGGCGGACTGCGGGCGGCTCTAGCGCCGGGCTCCGGGAGTGGCGGCTACTGGGTCGCGCGAGCCGGCTCCATGCCGGAGGCCGCTGTGGGGCCGCGCCGTGCCGCCGAGAGCAGCGCCCGGACTCCCGCTCGCGCCCCGCGCCCGCCGCCGCCCCTCGGCGGAGGGGCTGCGCTGACGAATTCAAAGGACGCGGGCGACAGCCGCGGTGGCGGCGCTTCGGGCGGCGGCTCCGGTCCCTTTTTCACAGCCCTGGGCTGAGGGCATCTTTCCTGACGGACGCCGGCGGCGGAGGCGCGGGAGGAGGGGGGCGCTGCCGCCGCTGAGGAGACCGGAGGCTGCCGCAGCCCGGTTCCCAACCACTCCCTTCCTCCTCTGCCAGCCTCTCTCCCTCCCTCCCCCGCCCGCCCTCCCTCCCGCGCCGCTCGCGCCCGCGCCCTGGGCTCCGCGAGGCCGCTCCCGGCGCCGCGGCGCGCAGGCGGAGGCTCGCGGACCGTCCGGATCCAAAATGGCGGCGCGCCCCGCCCCCCCCCCGAGCCCGCGCGGAGCCGAGCGGCGCGCTGCGGCCCAGCCGAACCGAGGACCCGCGGGAGGGGGACGGCCTCGCTCGTGGCGCTGCGGCTGCTGCAGCGAGGGGAACCGGGAGCCCCGAGGACTCCGGTGTGCGACGGGATGTCCCGGCGAGGGTCGGGCTGGGAACTGCGCCACGCTGCCTAGCCGCTGTCCCGGGTCCTCGAGGTGTCTACGGACCAATCCCCAACCGGGCTCCTTCCACGTCTGCGGAGATGCTGCCCGTCCTTCCCGGGTACCCTCGGCTTCCAACCTCTCCAAGAAAACTGTTTACCTGCCCACCCTGCCCCCATTCGGCTTTCCCACGCCCCGGAGTCCTATTTCTTGGGTTCCTAATTGACATCACTTGTGTCATTTCCCAGGCTTTAAAAGATAATAATAAGAGCCCACTCTGCTCCACCATCCGGGTCGTGCATACGTGATCTCAAAGGAGAGAGATTCCCATTTCTGATTCCCCAAAGTTTCCCAATGTGAAGTCTGGCGTTTTTTCCTGCGGAAATATACTAGATCACGCCTATAATTCTTCAGGCAAGGTTACAGCCTACCGGGGACTGTTCACCACTGTCATCAAACCAACAGCCCCCTCCTTCAGCACACTTTCAGGTATGCGCACAGCCACTGTGCAACCCAGAAGCACAATGCAGCAAAGGCACCTGCTGCCTGTGGAGCTCTTCAGGGTCCTTGGTTCTTCCCTCCAAAATGCTCGTGGAAGATGCTACTTTTGATCCAGCTAAACTGGGTCATAGCGTTTCTGTTTATCCCCCTCCCGCCACACTGCCATCTGTGATCGTCTTCCAAAACGTGATTGTTTTATATTCCTTCCCCACACCCGTTTTTCATGGCAATGCTTGTAATGATTCATTGTACATCTCAGTAATACAAACACAGAGGAAGAATTAGAAATGAAGGCCTAGACATGATGGCTGAGGTAAAGTTGCCGTGATTCACAGAATAGTGAGATTCTTTCCTGAAATCTCTGCTTTCCAAATCTATTCTTACCTAGCATGAATAAGGACAGCATTATTTGCAATGTGTTCTTGACATGAGTGATATTTAAATAGGTTCAGACAAAAGGCTAATCGTCCCCAGCCATGACATCTTTAGATGTGTCTGTTCTGTAATTGTACAAGTAACGAAACTGTAAACGTGAAATGTAATTCTAAACTAGATAATCTTATTTGATATCAGTCATTAGTGTTATGTCATTGTCATTGGTGTGTACACTTTTTTTTACATGTTTTAAGGAAAATGTTTTATAGTGAAGGACAGTTTTATACCCTCTGTAATTATTTAGGTCCAGACATGTTCTTCAGCCACCGAGTTTTTAGAATGAAGTCACCACATTTTTAACAATTTGCCCATAAGAGTAAGTAATAAAGAAGTGCACACACAGACCAGAGGATTCAGCAAGAAAAGCAGCTGCTGCCAAGCCTGACAACCTGGGTTCTACCTCCGGACCAGCAAGATGGAAGTAGAGAATCCACCCGGGAATGGTGACACGCATCTTTAATCCCAGCACTTGGGAGGCAGAGGCAGGCGGATCTCTGTGAGTTCAAAGCCAGCCTGGTCTACAGCGCAAATTCCAGGACAGATTCCAAAGCTACACAAAGAAACCCTGTCTTGAAAAATCAAAGAAGAGGAGGAGGAGGAGGAAGAGGAGGAGGAGGAGAAAGAGGAGGAGGAGGAGGAGGAGGAGGAAGAGGAGGAGGAAGAGGAGGAGGAGGAGGAGGAGGAGGAGGAGGAGAAAGAGGAGGAGGAGGAGGAGGAGGAGGAGGAGGAGGAGAAGGAGAAAGAGGAGGAGGAGGAGAAAGAGGAGGAGGAGGAGGAGGAGGAGGAGAAAGAGGAGGAGGAGGAGGAGGAAGAGGAGGAGGAGGAGGAGGAGGAGGAGGAGAAGAAGAAAGAAGAAGAAGAAGAAGAAGAAGAAGAAGAAGAAGAAGAAGAAGGAAGGAATCAAATTGTCACTCGCTGACCTCTGACCTCTGACCTCCACACTCCTGCAGTGGCATGCACATGCACATATAAAATGAAGTGCAATTTTTGTTTTTGCTTTTGCTTTTTCAAAGCAGGGTTTTTCTGTAACTTTGGAGCCTGTCTTGGAACTACGAGCTCTTGCTTTTTTTTTTTTTTTTTTTTTTTTTTTTTTTTTTGGTTTTTCGAGACAGGGTTTCTCTGTAGCTTTTGGAGCCTGTCCTGGTAGCTCTTGTAGACCAGGCTGGCCTCGAACTCTCAGAGATCCGCCTGCCTCTGCCTCCCGAGTGCTGGGATTAAAGGCGTGCGCCACTACCGCCCGGCTACTACTACTACGAGCTCTTGTAGACCAGACTGGCTTTGAACTCACAGAGAGCCGCCTGTTTCTGCCTCCCAAATGCTGGGACTAAAGGCGTGCACCACCAATGTCTAGCTTAAAGTATAATTTTTTTAAAGTCTAAAAATAATTAAGAGAGGAAGATAAACCTGTCTGCTCTCTTTAAATGTTTAGCTGATAATAGGAATGTATGAATTGCAGATGCTGTTTTTTATAGGACTTGGAATACAGGGTGGTAACGACACTCTGCCCACTGAGCCACCCGCCAGCCCTAAACACAGTTTTTAACAAAAGATTCAAGCCGTCTGTCCTCTCTACCTATTCTATTAGCACATGGGTACCACCCACAGACCAAGGTATTGAAACTTATTAAAAACCTTTCCAAATTATTTAGAGAGTAGAGGAGAGATTTTTTTTTTAAGCACAAAGAGAAGGAAGAAGGTTGAACCCAATCAATTTTGCTTGAATAATTCAAGCTTGGAGACTTAATAATTAACTAAACACTAAACACATTGTGCCGGTGTTATTTTAAATGTTCCAGTTGAAGTGTGAACGTGCTTGTTAATGAAACTGAGCTCAAGCCAAAGAAAGGGGCAGCCCCAGTGGTGCTAGTGCAGCCTTGAAGTGCCACAGCAAGACGCAGGCTGTCTGGCAGGGCGCTCTTTGGGAAAAGAGCCTGGGGGAAGGTCTTTGTGAAGTTCAGCTTAAGAATCCAGAGTTAAACACGTACCACAACACACACCCAGGACTGTTGAAGTAACCAGAGAGTTTTATGAAGATGTTGAGAATTAACCCTACCATTCAGAAAAGACAGAAGACAGACTATAGAGTGGTTAAAAAAGGGCAGAAGTGATTAAATGGTCCCCAATGTAAGCTTTCCAATTAGTTCTCCAATTCAGGGCTTAGAATAAAAAAAAAAGTCATGTACCAATTAATATTTTTAACAACCAGTCGTATGCTTGGTACATCTTACTTGGGAACAAATATCGTTTCAATAATGGAGAACGGGGCCTATGGAGCTAGCTCTGTAGACAGAGTAGTGCCATGCAAACGTGAGGGCTTGCGTTCAGTTCCCCAGAATGCATATAAAAAGCTAGCACACCCATAGACACTTGGAATCTCTGCAGAAGAGAGGCAAAGTCAGAGAGCTCCCTGAAGCTCGCTGGTTTGCCAGACTAGCCTACTTGGCAAGTTCCATGCCAGTGAGCCTTTACAGTCTTCACACAAATGTGCACCTGCATACATGGAGCACATACGTTAATAATAACCGGGTCAAAAGTGAGGTTCACGCATAGTAGGACTTAATGTAAAGTCAAACTTCCTTCCATATTTGAAGGTTTATGTCTGCAGTGTCAACCAACCACAGAAAATATACTAACAACATAAGCACTTTGATGTTTGTTGGTATTCCGTAAACAACTCAGTATAATAACTGATTGCACAGCATTTATATTCTATTAGCTATTTAAAATAATCTAGAGATGTTGGAAAGTACATACGAGGACATGTGTATTATATACAAGTGCTATATAAGGAACTTGAACAATCCTGAATTGTGATGAGATGAGGGCTGGATTGAGGAGAGAACCCTAGAACAAATCTCCAGAAAATACCAGGATGTAACTTGATGTGGGATTCCCCTCTGTATGCTGTGAATATGTTTTATTACCATTGGTTAATAAAGAAGCTGTTTCAGCTTAGCAGAGCAAAGCCAGGCGGGAAATCTGAATAAAGAGAGAGAGAGAGAGAGAGAGAGAGAGAGAGAGAGAGAGAAGGCGGAGTCAAGGAGACGCCATGTAGTTGCTGGATGAGACAGATGCCTGAACCCTTACTGGTAGGCCACAGCCTTGTGGTGATGATAGAAATAGGTTAATTTAAAATGTAAGAGGTAGGTAGGAATATGCCTAAACTATCGATCAAGCAGTTTTGTAACTAATAGTTTCTGTGTGATTATTCAGGTCTGGGCAGCCAGGCATGAAAGGGCAG